TTTTTTTTTTTTTTGTGGTACGCGGGCCTCTCACTGCTGTGGCCTCTCCCGTTGTCGAGCACAGGCTCAGGACGCGCAGGCTCAGTGGCCATGGCTCACGGGCCCAGCCGCTCCGCGGCATGTGGGATCTTCCCAGACCGGGGCACGAACCCGTGTCCCCAGCATTGGCAGGCAGACTCTCAACCACTGCGCCACCAGGGAAGCCCACCAATAAAAATGTTTTTAAAAAAAAGCAGCCCAAAGAGCTTCTGTCCAAAAAGTAGAGAAGCAGAATCTGGAGTAAGGAGAGTACGAAAGCAGAGAAAATATACTTAATGAAGTTTCTAGATCATCAATAACTATACACACAAACTAAATATGGCTTTAAAATAATTTTGTAGCCAGTACTGCACAGAAATGATATAAATGCTATAGCTAAAAGACAGCAGACATGGGCTTCCCTGGTGGCACAGTGGTTGAGAGTCCACCTGCCGATGCAGGGGATACGGGTTCGTGCCCCGGTCCGGGAAGATCCCACATGCCGCGGAGCGGCTGGGCCCGTGAGCCATGGCCACTGGGCCTGCGCGTCCGGAGCCTGTGCTCCGCAACAAGAGAGGCCACAAGAGTGAGAGGCCCGCGTACCGCAAAAAATAATAATAATAATAAAGACGGCAGACAGTTGGATATAATATGCTAGACACTCACTATAGTTGTATTCCTCAGATCTGTTTTTAGTCTATACAACAGTTTTATAGCAAATGAAAAATACATCCATGTAGGTGCATGGCAGTTGTCTCACTCAAAAATTACTAAAACAAAAACTCACTCTTTGGGGGTAAGATTTTACATGTATGTCCTCAATTATTTGCCTCACCATAAATCATTTGAGTACTAAGATGTCAGATCATTGTCCTCTTTCCACCTGAATAAAACCCCTTGTGATAAATACAGGAATCCTTTCCCTATGCTAAAGTGTACCTTACTTACAGTGCCACAAATAAGAATATTCAAGTATCTTGCTACTTTGTGTAAGATAGCAAGTTCACCTTGTAACACTCTAGATGCAACTATTATTTCATATTTTTAAAGAAAATTTCCCTAAAACCATCTAAAGGACAAAATTAAAAATAAACCATAAATATCTGCAGAAACCATGTACGAGCATTTTATCTTTATAGTTACATCAAGGACACAAAAGCTATGTCACTGAAATATACAAAGACAATGCTGCCACCTAAAGGCCAAGATATAATATGAAAAAAATGTACACAGTCATATACTGTCAACATATAGAAAAACAACCACTTTGATATTTTAAAGTCAGCAAAGTTTATACTTTAAAAAAGCACTATGCTATGATTATTTTTAGGCTACACAATAAAACTCTAATACTTTTTTGAGAAGACTGATAAGAGAATTAGCGAAATAATTTAGCTAATGATCAATATCTGCACAGGTCAAGTTCTGCTGGCATCCTTTCAGACACAATATTCTCCTGAGTACTGAATATTTCTATTAGCTGTTTGTCCTATTTAATGATGTTTATTATTTCCTGTAATTAAATATATGGTATAATTATATATATGCATATATAAATATTATTTGCCTTTAATCAGACTATTATTTCTACTCACCCTTTTAAAAATATTTGTTATTAAAGGACTAACAATAATACATCTCAGAGTGAAAAACCCAATCTACTTAAAATTGTAGCTTTGCAAGTAATTCAAATATTTCTCCTTATTTCATAAATTCTAAAAATACAAACTAAAGTTCCTATGGGAGACCAGTTATCAACAGCTCAACTGTCCAACAGAAAGAGCTCATACTATTCTAAATTTCCCTTTCTAAAAACCTTAAATTGAAAGAATTTCATTGAACTGAACTTTACTTAAGATTTAGCAAAAACACTTCTAATTTGCAATGAAATCAAAATGTTTACTGAATAACACTACACAGGAAACTGATTCCCTTAGCATTTAAGTATATAACACCTTTCTAATGGACCACAATATTAAAGAAATTTGAACATAACTAGAACCTTCAAAACATATGGTTTAATTCTTTTGAAAAACCACTGACCAAAATTTTTAATGTGTCAAGAAAAATGTTTTTCTGGTTTTGCTCAACAAGAAAACAAATATTAATCACTCAACAAATATTCCCATTATGTGAGAAATATAAAAATTGTAAGCTGGGATTACCACCTTTTAATATATCTTGAGTGTAAAGTGGAAACCAATGGACAACAAATATGGTCAAGTTCTCATAAAGACTACTAGTTTTTTATTGTCTTCTATGAGTCAGAGTTTATACTAGACAATTTAAGGACATTATATCATTTATTCCTCAAAACCACAACCTGCAAAAATACAAATACTAATAACCCCATTTGCAAAGGAGGTTCAAAGATCTTAAGTAACTTTCCCAATGTCACAGTGCAAGTAAATGGATACTGGGATTCAAAAATTCATTCTCTCTTACCCAGAAGACCTTACTCTATCCACAAGAACATAATGCCTCAGGAGTGATTATTAAATTTGTATTAAATGTGAACAGGAATAGGAAGTATTTTTACTGTGTAATTTCACAGAAAAAGATAATTCTACATGGTAATAAAAGTGTTTACTTTTAATTCATAGTATTTCAACTTTTCTAACTGTAATCTTAAAAAAAAAAAAAAGCGTTGTCTCACTTGAAGTGCTGAGGCTTCCAGAGACCTTTCAGAACTTACATTACTATGTGAGAGGTATTTATCAAATTTTGTAAACTAACTCCAAGGGGCAACAAAAAGATCTCATTATTTTGAAGATACAGTTAAAAAGCAAATCTTCTTTGTAAATATACATATTCAGGACCACCTTGCCTACATTTTAACGTACAGTATTTTTCAACATTGAGAACTCTACTAATGCCTCCCCAGTGACAACTTTTTCTGTTAACCTGTACTATATACCTATCAAAGCAATATTAAATGGATTTGGAATATTATTCAGCCATAAAAAGGAATGAAGCTCTGATACATCCTACAATAGGAATGAACTTTGAAAAAATATGGTATGTAAAAGAAGGCAGACCCAGAAGACCACATATTGTGTGATTCTATTTATATGAAATGTCTGGAACACACAAAAGCCCACAGAAAGTAGATTACCAGTTGCCATGGGCTAGAGGAAGGGGAAATGAAGAGTGACAGCTAATGGGCACAGGGTTTCTTTCTGGGATAATAAAACTGTCCTAGAATTAGTGATGATGACTGCACAACTTTGTGAATATACTAACAAACACTGAACTGTACACTTTAAAAAGGTGAATTTTATGATATATAAAGTATATCTCAATAAAAGAAAATTACATGGCTTTAAATATATTTATAATATACAATAAGTGTAAATGAGTTACCTACACATGTGCTTAAAATATAAAACCTATGTAACTAAACTAGTAGTCTTTACAACTAAAAACAAGATTATCTGTCTCAATTTACCGAGTCCCATTTTACACCATACTAAGTGAAAGGCTCTATTTCACAAGCATACATCTTCCCGAATATTAAAAATTCCTAACTATCTAAAATTACTACAATCCCTAGGGGAATCAGAAGGAACGACAACTACATACTTATATTTGGCAGCCAAATTTAATTTTTTCAAATTAATTTTTTCCACTGTCAGAGTTTAGAAAAAAGCACATTAGCACACGCTAATGAAGAATTTTTAACATGTAAGTACCACATACAAGCACCCACAGTTATAAAACCAATTTATACAAATCATTGTTTTGAGAAGATTCTTGCTTTTAAGTAGAATCTGCCTCTAAACCATCCAAAAAAAATAAGCAGAAAAAAATTTATAAGCTAAGTTATAAGGAATTCAAGAGTTAGAAACAAAATGAAAAACACAAGAATGGTAACAAGTACTTACTAATTTGTTTTCCTGCATGTATATTCTTTGTAATTTCAGACAGCCCTTAGCTATGACGATCATGCCTTCATCTGAGATCTTGTAACACTGGCCGAAATGAATATCTTTGAGTTCTCTGCATTTTGAGCCCAGCTGTAAACAAAGAGATTTGACTGAATGCTCCAAAAATAACAAAGGTGACATACTTCTAGTGGGATTTCCATAAAATTTTTTTAAATAGCCATACCAAAGTTAAATAATTCTTTATAAATTACTCTTAAAATAGAATGTAGGCAAACTATTATTTAAAATAGTGTTGTGTAAGCCTTTTCACCTTCTAATTATCTCCTTGCTTCAACTGCCTCACATACTATATGCCCACCTAGGTGCCTAGATTCCATAACACTTCAAATTCATGTCTTAATTTCTCTTGAGTCTTTTTATCAGTCATAGTGTTAGACTGAATGGAACACAGGTCCAAGGAATAAAACCAAGGTCCAAGAAGTGAGACAAAGGTCCAGTGAGTGAACGAATATTTAATTCAGGAGATTCTACTTCTAGTTCTGATTGCCCCAATGTATCATTTTTCTCCATCGGCTCATTTATTCTGTGAAAGAGAAAAAAGACTGAATATGCTATAGCCAATATTCTAGTTAATACTTATTTACACACGTATTGCATAAACTAAAAAAAAAAACAGGACTAGTGATTTCCTGATTGAAATCTCAAGTGTACCTTAAATAGCTACTGAACAGATACAATGTTCCCCTTAAAAAACATTAAGTACAACAAAGAACGAATTATATAATTTTTCAAAATCTACAGTAGAAATTAGATGATCAAAGCAAACTATAAATAAATGTTTTATAAGTATTACATATAAAGAAAGTCATCTTAGAGATAAAATAAGAAACTTTACTAAAAACCTATATATCAAAAATTGTCTAAAAAATTACATTAAGACAATAAAATCCAGTTTGGCAAGGGTTCAAAGTGTGCTGATACACCACTGGTAAGAGTGTAAATTAGTACTAAAAATCTTCTTGGAGGGCTAGTTAGCATAAATGAAAAAATTTTATAAAATTTGCCTGAAAATTATATGACTCAGCTTCTAAATATTTACCAAAAAATGTAAGAGGGATGGATAATTGGATAGATAACATAGTAAAGTCAACATACTACAATGTTAATTATACAATCTATGTAGTGGGTATATGGGTGTTCACTGTAAAATTCTTTCAAATTTTCCATATATTTAAAATTATTCATAAAGACTACTGGAATAATTAACTAAAGGTGTTTGGTAAGATTTAGCTACAAGAAATTAGCACAAGAATTTTTTTTTAAATAGTGAAATACAGAAAACCTAAAGTTATAAATTATGGTGTTTTTATAAAATTGAGTATTATATAGCCATTAAATTGAAGTAAATAAACACTTGACAAATAAAAACTGTACATGTTTTTATAATAAATTTAATTTTTATAAACAAATTAGGCACATTTAAATATACATATACATATTTAATTATACACATGTATATAAAAAAGAGATAAAATATACACCAAGGTGTTTACAGTGGTTATTTCTGATCAGTGCAATAATGGGTACTGTTCTTTTTTTCTATCAGTCTTCTTACACCTTTTTAAAAATAAATATTATTTTTGTAATTAAAAACTTTCAAGTCCTGTTTCAAGTAAAGTAATGATATTATCAGAAAGATATGCAATTTCAGTTAGTTTTTCCAGGGGTGGTGATATATACAAGCCATCTTATTTTAATCTAGGTAACGCTATAACCAATTATATATTCCACTAGAAATGTAAACTTCATGAAGACTGAAGCTTGTTTAACTAACATAGGCCTGGTGCCCAGTGTCTTACAGTCAGTTGATACCTAGTAAATATTTGTTGAATGAATGAAAAGGCTGATCAGAGTTATTCATTGTAAAGAGGCCTCTTTGAAAAATGGACAAATAAAGGAAACTACGATTATGGTCTCATATACCACCACGTTCTACTTAATTCAAGAGTTCTAAATTGGGTCCACAGGTGGAAATCAGGGATTCCAGTTAAATGGATGAGAAAAAAAAGAAAGAGTACATTTTTATTTTCTTACTATTCTCTAAATGAACTTTAGCTTTTCTTTCACTTATTAAACAGAAAATCAAAGTAGTTTAGTAGTATGTGTGACTCTGTAAACAACAGAAATCAAAGATAATTTCATATAACACTACTGTTATGCAGATAGTGAAATATCATTTTTGTTCGTCAGTATTCATCATGTTTATTAGATCTACTACCAGATCTTATAATGCATTAAAGAGGCACATATATTTCTAGAACAAACATACAATGGCATGTTACTTAGACGCCAGAAAGCTGAATCCAAAGCCAATAGTGGGGAAAGCAGAAAAGCAATATGATAATCACTACAAAACTCCCAATAAGCTCACGTATGTCTGGCAGTGAGGGCGAGGTTGGTCTTAAAACCACCAGGATTCCTGAAAGTCTACTTAAGAAGTAGTTAACCACTCAGATCACCTCCTCATTTCTGCACAGCCTGCCCCTGCCCACTCTCCCACAATAGCAAAAGACTGGAGTTCACTGAGGGGAGGAAACCATAGGGTCTTTGGGGTATGCCATGCACAGCTGACAGCAGAAGCACACTCCAGAAAATGTGGGGATGTGAAAGTTTATACAGTGAAAATGGAGAATTAAAAGAAATAATTCTATAAACTGTTCCAAGATGAAAGGATATGGACTTCCAGACTAAAAGGACTCACTCATATGTCCAATACAAATGACAAAAGCAGACCTGTATCAAGGCAAATCATCATAAAATTTCATAATCGTAGGTATAAAAAATATTCTAGACTTCTAGTGAGAATCAGATTTCATACAGAGGATTAAGGATAAAAAAGGCAACAAACTTCTTAATAATTTAAGAATACTTCTTTCAAACCTAGAATACTGTACTCAGGATTCAGACTATGAATTAAGTGTGAGGGTAGAAGAGAGACATTTTCAGACATGCAAGCTCTCAAAAGATGTACCTCCCATATATTCTTTATCAGGAAGCTATTACAATCTGTGCTCTACAAAACATGAGAATACATCAAGAGAAAGAACACATGACATCTAGGTAATAGGACATCTAACAGAACAGCAAGGTGAGGAAAACATTGAGAATAAGGGTGAAGATAAGATACTAAGATGACCATTAATGCAAGAGTAGTTATATACAGTAAGTCCAGACTGCTGTCTACTTTAAGAAAATACATTCGACGAAGTAAATACATACAGGTATACTAAAGCAACTGGGGGAAAGCTGTGGACTCCATCACTAATAAGATATAAAAACTAAGTAAACTAAATGAGGACAAAAAGACATTTATTCATTCCAATAAAAACAAAATTCCAGAGGGAAAAGAAAGGCAGGTAATTATAAAACGTAAATACTGAATACTTATTTAATCAAAATTATAACAGAATTATTTTGACACAATGAGGGCATAGGAGATAGAAAACGATAGTGAGCTAAATCCTCATCTTTCCATAGCAAGGAAACAGCAGAGATCAGCGGTCCGCAACCTTTTTGGCACCAGGGGCCGGTTTCGCGGAAGACAATTTTCCCACGGATGCAGGGGAGGGAGGTTCAGGTGGTAATACGAGCGATGGGGAGTGATAGTAAGTGGCAGATAAAGCTTCACTCACCTGCTGCTCACCTCCTGCTGTGCGGCCCGGGGGTTGGGGACCCCTGGGATGGTCTAAAATGGATAAATCAAGAAAATACATACAGACATAGACGGCAAATGCTTCTTCTCTACCACTGCTTCCTTCTTCTGGAAGGAGTTCAACTGGTCTAACTTCTGGTCTCTACACTGATTAGTTTGTATTTAATAAGCTGAACATGTTCAGTTCATCTCTATCTTTTTTCCGCTTGAGAACAAACTGCCCACAAGGAGCAAGCATCTACTTCTACATTTGCAGGACACTGCTGGTCCAGCCTAGTAGATGACGACTGGGTCCCCTGGCCAAACTCCAGCGTTTGAGTTAACAAGCCTATTTAACTCTATTACTAAGCAACACTCCCAATCTAGCCTTTCTGTGTAATAAAGTTGATATTTTTCCTCTGTCACTATTCCAGTGTCTTATTTGTCAATTTATTGAGATGCTGGAGCAATAAAGAGACTTCAACACTTAGTGCACCAGCCAGGTGATCTCTTCCTGTATCAAGTTTACCGCCATTAACTCTTTTTTTTTTTTTTTTTTTTTTTGAGCCTTTTTTTATTTTTTTTTTTTTTTTTTTCAATTCTGCTTCTGTGTTTTTTTATGTTTTGGTTTTTTGGCCGTGAGGCATGTGGGATCTTAGTGCCCCGACCAGGGATTGCACCCACACCCCCTGCACTGGAAGGTGAAGTCTTAACCACTGGAACGCCAGGGAAGTCCCCCCATCCTTAACTCTTACCTTATCCCAGCAAAAAGTCAATACAGCTAAAGGATCTACAAACACCTCAAAATTACCTCCATAATACTTTCTACTTTACCAAAGAACATTCTGAAATAATAACTACTCATCATAAGATAAGAATACCTATCTGGCCGATATTGACAGGATGAATACCACCACTCACCTTGGATGGATACTGGAAAACTCCTCCCTGAGGGCCCTTCCAGGTAAAAGAGGTTATCAACCTTGTGAAATTTTAGCTCCAACCACACCTATCCATTCACACCCAGCCTGTCCTTCACTGCTATTTGCACCTGACACTCATGCCAGGTCCAATCCTAACTCTCACTCTTCACCAAGTAAATGGTCTTAGTTACCTAAGACATAGAACCCCAGTATGTCATTTAAGAGGTTCTGAATCTTTATCAATACAAGTCCAATATCGAGTTCCCTAGGAAAGGTGCAAGTCAGATGGACAGTAATAGAAGCCTTCCTCTAACTCTAATAATATGTCAAGGGCACCCATCAGTCAACCCTGAAGAAATCATTTAATGAAAAGGGTGTTAGTAGCCACTTTATCACTTAAATGAAGCTAGTCCACCTATTAATCCATGGTTCATTTTAGCACATGACAGTAATTAGAACTGAAAATGGACTAGAGTAAATAAACATAATATAAAAAGGACTGTCTTTGATTTATT